TTCCACTGGAACCTCAAGGGCGAATCGGAGTCACGTGGCGCAGACGCCGAAGGTGGAGCTGGCCGCGGAGTGTGCGCAGGCGCAGTGTTCTCCCTCTCGCCACGAAGTAAACAAGTGGGAGGGTCTGAGAGCTGCACCACCTGGGCAAGCACGCCTCCAAACGCTTACTTCCTTCTCCATATTGTATGCTGGAATCGAAGCCAAGGAGGTGCCATTTTGCTCGAGGGCACGGCCTAAGGCCGGCTGAGGCCATGTTAATGCGGGGCAGTCCCATCTCTGCGCGACAGAGAGGTGCTTGGAAGAGCAGAACGGATAAGAGAAGAAGAGGTGAGAGGAGCTGTACACCACAAGAGGCACTGAGGGATTCGGGATGACGAGATGAAGCCGTCAGTGTCCTGGGAAACGAAGCGGCCCCAGAGGAAATTTCTGAGTCACCGTCGCGAGAAAGCGGGCTGAGCCACCATCTTGAAGCCTGGCAAATCTAAGCAAGAAATGCTGTCGTGTTGGATCTTTGCCAGCGTTGGTGCTGAATGTGGGAGCAGGTTGGAGGGAGAGAGAACCCATATACACTATGGGCTGATTAAGCCCGGTCGGCTGCCATGTTGTTAACGGGCACCGATTTCCTCCACTTTTGTCGGAGAAGTTTATTGTGGGTGAGGGATGTCAGGTCACTTGCCTTCGTTTACAGTATTCATGAATGAGCGTGTGAGGGCGGCCATTATTGTTAGGGGCAAATGGAACTACTCCAGGCGCGAAAACTAAAGCCTTTCTTTCGCCATTTTTCTTATGGGCACGCTGCTCTCGCGATTGCCCACTAGTTCGGATGAAGCCCCTGTGGCCGCCATCTTGATCTCGGGCGGCCCCGATAAGGGAGGCGGAGTATGCGAAGAGGAGGCGAGGTAACTCCACGGACGTGACGCAAGGCGCCGCCATGTCTTTTGAGGGCGGCGACGGCGCCGGGCCGGCCATGCTGGCTACGGGCACGTGAGTGGAGGCGGCGTTGTGAACCGCGGTGTGGGGAGGATTTGGCCGTCCAGAGGCAGCGGGGCGCTGGGAGGGCGAGCGGCTCACGGGAGGGGTATGGCCTGCATAGATCAGAGAGGAGAGGTTGGCCAGCGACCCTTTGCAGAGCGCTGGAAGGGGATCGCCCGTGGGAATCGTCCTGACTGACCCGAGGCAAATCGTAGACAGCCTCACTTTGCGATGTCCAGAACCCCTGGGATCCCTACTTGGGCCGTGGACCATGTCCACGGGGTCGGGGGATGGCTCGGGGGGCCTCGGGGCGCCCCCTCACCCGTCCAAAGGCGGGACTTCCGGTCCTGGCCTCCGCCTGGGCGGGATTTCCTGTTTTTTTCCTCGTCCTGTGGATCCTCCCTCGACCCCGGGTGAGGTTGGGAGGTCTCTGGGCGCCCGAACCTGGCCCCAGACACTCACCCCACCCACGGCTACCGCGTGCACTCTAGGGTTCCTCACATCTTGGGGTGAGGGGCACTAAAATTTCGACGAGCGGGGGTGTTTCCACCCCTCTCCTTAACACTCTTCTCTCCTCCCCGAATCCAAAGAGGAGAGCCACATCGTGCCCCCTCCCTCTTGTGGGGAACACGTCCCACCTTCCTCTCATCTCTACCTGATCTTAAACGAGACTCGTCCATCGGGGCGGGTTCTTCCTCCAACTCTCAGCTCCTTGGAGGAGCCAGGACCTCCTCTAGAAGCTGAAGGGTAAGGAGTACCCCCAGGTCTTGGTTATTCTCCTGTCGGGGAACAGACTGCAGGGTGTCCCTGGACCTCGGCAGAAAGGCCTGTGGAAATCGCCCTGTCCTTTTTGCTCATGTCTCCTGAGTTGGGGGAACCCTCACAACCCACTCACCCCATTTCACTCTCTTCAGTCTCGTGGCTACTCCAAGATTGAGTACAGGGAGGGAGTTTCATCCGGACATTCTCTTCCCGGACACCCCGCTCCCCCCGCTCCCCCTCTTCTCATGTCATTAGGGGCTGAGGGCGCGTGGAAATGAGAGCCCCAGGCCTAGCACGGGCAGGCAGTTGACTCTGGACTAGCCACTTCCTTGCTTTGAGCCTCAGTTTCCTCCTTCATCAGGTGGGAAGGACATGGGGGTGTGTTCGAGACACTGGGTACCCCCCGGTTCAGTGGGGTTTTGGGGCTGAGCAGTCATCAGTTTCAGCTCCACTTGTGCCCTGTGTAGCTTGTGCTTTCTGGCCAGTGTCGTAAGTTCTGAGCCTCACTTTGCCATCTACATTAGGAGATCTGTTTTTGTTTTTTGTTATTTTGAGACGGAGTCTTGCTCTGTCGCCGAGGCTTAGAATGCAGTGGTGCCATCTTGGCTCACTGCAACCTCCTTCTCCCGGGTTCAAGCGATACTTCTGCCACAGCCTCCCAAGTAGCTGGGACTACAGGTGCGCTCCACCACACCCAGCTAATTTTTGTATTTTTAGTAGACACCAGGTTTCAGCATATTGGTCAGGCTGGTCTTGAACTTCTGACCTTATGATCCACCAGCCTCAGTCTCTCAAAGTGCTGGGATTACAGGTGCGAGCCACAGTGCCTGGCCAACATCTGTCCTCCTAAAGGCAGGTAGGATGGCGATCAGAATTTGGAACAGGCTCTGGATTAGATCGTCGGAGTCCAGATCCCAGCCCTCCCTCTTCCAGTTGTGGGGCCCTTCAAGGTGCTGACTGTCCCTGGGCCTGAGTTCGCGACTGCAAAGTGGGGTGAGCTGTAGCTATGGCTCCTGCCTCATAGCGTAGGTAAAAGGGTGGGATGAGAAGGTTGAGCCCGTCTTTGGTCCTGGCATGGCTTCTGGGAAGTGCTGGATAAACCTCTTCCTTCCCTCGGGGCTTTGGACTGAGTGAGTCAGATGCGGGGTGGGGGGGGAATGCCAGATGTGGAATCCCAGCACTGAGTAGCTGCTCAGTAAACACGATCGTGAGTCATAAAGGGCCTGCAAGTTTCATTCCAACCCCGGACTCCCTGCTCCCTTAACCCTGGCATGCTGGACCACAGCTCTGCCTGAATCCCTGCAGTGATGGTGTGCTCACTGCCTCCCCAAGGAGCCTCTTCCAAAGCCCAACAGCTCTGGCTCAGCTACTCTGGTTAAAGGGAAAGAAAGTGAGGCACAGAGAGGGCTAGTGAATGAGCAGTCCAAGGTCACACAGCAGGTTTGAGACAGGGCAAGGACCCAGCCACCCTGCCCTCGATCATCTCACCGGGTAAGGAGATGCCCCCTGCTTTGTCTGCTTGGGGCCAACCTGTCCTGTGAACACAAATCCCTTATTTCAGGGGAATTCACAGTCTGATGCAGGAGGCAGCAGGGTACAGCTGTCACAAGTTCAGGTGACATGAGCGCTCATGGAGGAAGCCCAGGGCATCGGGTGGGCTCCTGAAGTCATCTGATGCACCCTGAGTGATCAGGGACGACAGAGGACCTGCCAGAGCAGTCTTGTAGAAAGAGCCACGGGGATTTCCCTGCACAGAGCAATCCCAGCACCATTTCTTCCCCTTGTTCAGCCCTGACTCTCTGAGGCCTCAGTCGTGGAACCAGCCAATTCCCTCTGGAAGGAAGTGTGCTGGGGAGGTGGCCACTCAGACATGGTGGGACCCCCCCAGGGAGGAAACTGGCTGGATCTAGGGGTGAGTGAAGGTAGGTGGGGAACGGAGCACGAGTGATCCAGGGTTTGGGGGGTCCGTGTTGTCTGAAGGCTGTGGAGGCAGGATGGCCCAGGAGCCAGGGATGACTAGAACACACGGGGCCTCCAGGGCCAGGCTGAGGGCCAGGGACCCTGTCCTGAGGACTCTGGCGAGGAGTAGCAGGAGCTCCAGGTGCAGAAGGACCCCCCTGGGACTTGGGCACCACGCTGTGGATGAGACGTGCAAGCTCCACGTGGAATTTCACACTTTCTAAAAACCATGACGAAAGAGTCAAAGCAGATAATTTTTTTTTTTTTTTTTTTTAATAGAGACGGGATCTCAACATGTTGCCCAGGCTGATCTCGAACTCCTGGGCTCAGTGATCCACCTGCCGTGGCCTCCCAAGGTGCTGAGATTGCAGGTGTGAGCCACCGTGCCTGTCTGTTCTGCTTTTTTGTACTCAGCCTTCAGAATCAGGTACGGGCTTGCCTCTCAGCATCCTCTCTGCTGCAACTCCCCACTCACATGTGGCTGGCGGCTCCCACAGAGGCCAGGGCAGGGCCAAAGGGCAAGGAGCGGGGTGGCAGGAGGAATGGGGCTGGGGCTGATGGCTCGCTGGGGCCTGGGACTGCGAGGGAGGGCTGGATGGTGAGAATCTGGAGAGTAGCAGGTTTGGGGAGGACACGCAGCACCCCTGGGACAAGGTGGGTGGAGGGGGTGAGTGCCATCCAGGGAACAGGCAGACACCCTGGGTGGGTGGTGGAGGGAGTGAGTGCCATCCAGGGAATAGGCAGATACCCTGGGTGGGTGGGTGGGTGGGTGGAGGGGGTGAGTGCCATCCAGGGAACAGGCGGATACCCTGGGTGGGTGGGTAGGTGGATGGAGGGGGTGAGTGCCATCCAGGGAACAGGCGGACACCCTGGGTGGGTGGTGGAGGTAGCCAAGCCTCAGCCCCCTCTGTCCTGCTCTGGCCTCAGGGCGCGGATGGCATCGGGGCGTCCCGAGGAGCTGTGGGAGGCCGTGGTGGGGGCCGCTGAACGCTTCCGGGCCCGGACTGGCACGGAGCTGGTGCTGCTGACTGCAGCCCCACCGCCACCACCCCGCCCGGGTCCCTGTGCCTATGCTGCCCATGGCCGAGGAGCACTGGCTGAGGCAGCGCGCCGCTGCCTCCACGACATCGCGCTGGCCCACAGGGCTGCTGCCGCCGCCCGGCCTCCTGCGCCCCCACCAGCACCGCAGTCACCCGACCCCACACCCAGCCTCCCCCAGCCTGCCCTGGCAAGGGAGGACAACGAGGAGGATGAGGATGAGCCCACAGAGACAGAGACCTCCGGGGAGCGACTGGACGTCGGTGATGACGGAGGTGAGAGGGCGTGCACAGGGGCAGGGGCAGCCCAGCGCTTGACAAGGTACCCGCTGGAGGCTTTCCTGGGGTCTGGGGTGGTGGGACCTGCTTAGTCCTGAGTACTTCCATCGAGATGCGGTCTCAGGACCCCACAGCCAGACAGGCTTGCCTGGGACTTGCTGTGTGATCTGAAGCCAATCCCTTCCCCGCTCTGAGCCTTACTGGTCCTGGAGCCAGCTCTGTGCTAGAAGTGGTAGCCACAGGGACACAGAGCAGACTTTGGCCCTTTTCAAGGGGCTTCCAGTCTAGCCAAGGAATTGGAGTCCTGATGAGGGTCGGGGGGTTCTGGAGCAGGGCATAAGTAGAACCAGAGTCATTTCCACGATGACTGGAAGTCAAGATAGGAGTGGAAGAGCTGTCAGGGATGCAGCAGACATCTGAGGAAGCCCCCCATTCAGCTGTTGTGGGGGGCATCTGGGGGTTGAATACTTCCAGAGGTTGGGTTGTAACACTAGGGCTTTGAGGAGTGAGTAGGAGTTTGATCAGTAACTAGGAGGTCCTTTTTTGTTATTACTTTTTTTTTGTCTTTTTGTTTTTTTCCTTTTTGTGGAGAACGGGGTCTCACTATATTGCCCAGGCGGGTCTCGAACTCTTGGGCTCAAGCTATTCTTCCACCTCTGCCTCCCTAAGAGCTGGGATTACAGGCGTGAGCCACAGCGCTCGGCTGTAATTACTAATGGCTGGCCTCCTACCTGTTGTGGGAGAAAATCCACATGGGGGAGGGCAGGCATCCTGAGTTCAAATCCTGGTGGTGTCCCTTAGTAGCCATGGGACCTCCGACAAGTGACTTAACCCCTCTGGGCCTCCAGGTCTCCTTTGTCAACAGAGGTCACGGTCATCCCGTATTTCTCTCAGGCTGTATTTTCAGTCCCATCGTCCCGAACAGATCGTAGCGGTTTCCTGTTAGCTACGTCGTGTGTAGCCGAGAAGGTGACAGATGCATAGAGGGTGTGTTTCTGCCGATGACCAGGCAGGTGGCTAGGGGAAGGGTTTTCGAGGTGAAGGAAGTGGGTCTCAGCAGGGAGGCGGGGACCATGGTCGGGGCCGTGGCTGGGGAGGAGGGCACACGGAGCATGGCCAGGCGCCCACTGGCCCGGGCCTCTCACTCACACCATCCACAGGGCTCTTCGTGATGGATGAGGATGCCACCCTCCAGGACCTTCCCCCTTTCTGTGAGTCGGACCCCGAGAGCACAGATGGTGAGTGTCCTGGGTGGTCCCCTCCCTACCTGGAGGTGGGTGGCTGGCACAAAGACACAGACGCTGAAATTTACCCTCGCTTTCAGATGGCAGCCTGAGTGAGGAGACCCCCACTGGGCCCCCGACCTGCTCAGTCCCCCCAGCCTCAGCCCTGCCCACACAGCAGTATGCCAAGTCCCTGCCTGTGTCTGTGCCCGTCTGGGCCTTCAAGGAGAAGAGGACAGAGGCACGGTCATCGGATGAGGAGAATGGGCCGGTAAGGGGCAAATGGGGGGAGGTAGGGAGGGCAGCTGGAAGGGCTCTGAGCCACTTCCTCCAGGAAGCCCTCTGGCATGGATGCTACTTTCCACCCATAAGCTGACTGAATCCTCCCCTCAAACTCAAGAAGCAAGTTCTTGGGCCCAAGCCTTGCAGTTTTAACAACTGCGGCCTTACCGTGTGTCCTAGTGCCTTACAGAGAAGCCCTCTCCTTTCCAGGAGCGTCTTCATTTGTAGAACACTTGCTCTGGGCAAGGCACAGGCATTCCCTCTAGATGGGGAAACTGAAGCTTGGAGAGTTCAGATCACCTCCCATCCCCACCCTGCACATTCCCGGCTCTTTGCAGAATTTGTCCCACCCCCCGGTCTCGTTCATCCCTGTTTGAAGCTCCTGGGCTGGGCTAGCCTGGGTGGGTCCTCCTCACCCCTCACTGAGGCAGTAAGAGGACATGTGACTTCCCTGAGGGGCAGAGCTGGGACTGGAATCCAGCTGCCTTTCAGGAAGGAGCTGTGGGCTTTGAGGGAGGTGGCCTGGGTCCCCACAGTCCATGCTCTCAGACCTCAGTGTCCTCATGTGTAAACCAGCAGTCACAGTGGTCACGTCCTCCCTACCTCCTTCCTCCACGAGGCAGTGGGCGCTGAAGAGCAGGAACCAGGCCCGGTGCAGACAGGGTCTGCCTGCTGCTGCTGTCTGTGCTTGGGACGCACAGCAACACAGCTCATTGGATGCTCTGGCCTCCCCCTGGTCAGGTCCAGTTCCTGATCTGGGTCTCTGGGTCTCATCCTGCAAGGGAACAGGCCCAGCTCAGGTGTCGGGGCTGTAGTGGAGGCAGGACCAGGTGCTGGAGCTGCAGGCAGAATGGCAGGACCGTTCCTTGGTGGGGGCTGACACAGGGAGGGACGCTTTCTGTACAGCAGGGGCCACATGATACAGCAATAACAGCTGATTATCTCAGCCCTCACAGAGATCCTGCTGCCCACCCCATTTCTCAGAAGGGGAGACTGAGGCCTAGGGAAGCAAAACCTCTTGCTCCCAGCTAATTAGCAGCAGAGATCTGATTGGAACATGACTGAAACCCCAGCCCAGATCCTCAGACATGAGGCAGTGCACGCAGCCTTAATGGCCAGCAGACAACAGCAGTTCCAGTGTGTAGGAAGCAATATCCCAGGCCAAGAAGGGGAGGCGGGGGGGAAGGGCAGGAAGGCTTCCTGGAGGAGGTGTCTGAACCAGGTAAGAAGTGTTCCTACGCAGAGCAAGACGGGGAAGAGCACTGCTAGCAGTGGGCATCTCAGGGCACAAGTGGCCGGGGGGCGGGGACGTGCTAGGAGTGGGCTTGGAGCCAGGGTGCACGCCCAGGCTGCGTGTGGGTGCAGGGGTGGCCATGCTGGCGCCGACCTCGCCCTGTTGCCGTCCCCGCAGCCCTCCTCTCCGGACTTGGACCGCATCGCGGCGAGTATGCGCGCACTGGTGTTGCGGGAGGCCGAGGACACCCAGGTCTTCGGGGACCTGCCACGGCCGCGGCTTAATACCAGCGACTTCCAGAAGCTGAAGCGGAAATACTGAGGCCCGGGGCGGGAACGTCCCGGGCCGCGTACGCTCCACCCCACACTACGTCCCCGCCCCATGCCCGGGGCCCGCCAAGCCGAGGCTGATCTGGGAGCCCTCCAGGATTGACCAGTCTCTGCCAGTCCCCGCTGCCCTTCCAGCCCGCGACTTCCAGCGCCGAGGAGCGGGATATGCCCCTTTTCGCGATTGCCTCTCTCTGCCCAGCGACAGATTCCTTCTATTAAGGGATTGGCTCTCTCAGTTCTAAGCCCTAAACGGGTCCACTCCGTTGTTTTCTGCCTAGCGACAAGGCCTTCGGTCGCACGGCATTGGTTCCATCCCCTAGTCGCTGGGCAGTTCTTTTTTTTTGATTGGCTCGAATCTTGTAAAGGGCTTGAGTTCTCCCTCCTGGTTAGCTCCAGCTTCCTGGGGGCATGGCCAAGCCCTCCTGTTCCCAGAATTGGCCTGGGGCCTTCGATTTACGTTCTTTACACTACGGGGGCTAGGGTCGTTTTTGCCCAAGTCCTGACTGCTTCTCCCCTGACCCCCTCAGGGATGGCCCCAAACTGTCCCTGCGGCTGACACCCCCTTTCATTGGTTCCATCCATCGCCACAACAGCCTGCCAATCGAAGCCCGTCCCTGCATCCAGGATGGTACCAGCTCCCAACCCTCGCTCCCCACCTCCACAGGTGCCTTAAAGGGCCCTCGTCCACCCAAGGCGGGGGGCAGGGGGCCTCACTCTCCGGCCCTGGTGTGGGGGAGAGAGTGAGGGGTTGGGGGACCGGCAGTTGGGAAGGGCGCTCTGAGATTAAAGTTTTACCTCTGTGTTTTGAGTGTTCGTTGAACATGTTCTAAAACCGAATTACGGCGTCTGATTATCAGTGAACAGCTGGGGGTTGGAATTGCTGTGCCCATTTTATTTTTAAATTTTGAGACAGGGTCCCACTGTCCCTCAGGTTCAAGCAATTCTCCTGCCTCAACGTCCCCAGTAGCTGGCATTGCAGGGGCGCGCCACTACCGCCGGGCTAGTTTTTGTATTGTTAGTAGAAACAGGGTTTCGCCATGTTGGTCAGGCTGGTCTCGAACTGACCTCAAATTATCCACCCCCGTCTGCTTCCCAAAGTGCTGGAATTACAGATGTGACCGCACATGGCTCTGTGCCCATTTTATAGATACGAAATGGGGGTGGAGACCATTCCAGTCTTGTGTGACCATGGAACCCCAATCTTGAGAGGGTGAGTGTTGGAGCCAGAGCCCACATATTCACTAGCAAAGCCAGGAACTCCAGCCGGGAGTCTCGTTAAAAGAAGACTGGAGCAGCTGGGCTTGGTGCCTCATGCCTATCAGCCCGCGCTGGGAGGCCGAGTGTGTGAGACCCCTTCTCAAAGAAAAACTGTCTGGAGATTACGGAACAGGTGGAACCTCGTCCGAAATTAGGGCAGGTAAATGTAATCTCCCACCAGACCACCACTGGAAGAATGCTAACGCTAAGCAAGACTGACACAGGGCTTTATGCCACCCAGACATTTTTAAAAGCGCTTGTCATGTTGACTCCTTTAATCATCCTAGTAATCCCACGAAAAGGAAACGATTATCGCCTTTATAGATGAGGAAACTAGGACGCAACGTAAAGCCAAAGAAGGATTCAGGGGCGCTGTCGAGGATGTTTCCTTGACTGAGATGACCATCAGGTGGGAAAAAAAACCTTACTCCCGTGGTAACTATCTCAACCGGGATGGAAATTAGAAGCATGTCTGGGCGTGGTGGCTCACGCCTGTAATTCCAGAACTTTGCGAGGCTGAGGCGGGCGGATCACCTGAGGTTGGAAGTTCGAGAACAGCCTGACCAACATGGAGAAACCCCGTCTCCACTAAAAATATAAAATTAGCCGGACGTGGTGGTGCATGCCTGTAATCCCAGGTATCTGGGACGCCGAGGCGGGAGAATCGCTTGAACCCGGAAGGCGGAGGTTGCGGTGAGCCGAGATAGCGCCATTGCACTCCAGCCTGGGCACCAAGAGTTAAACTCTGTCTCAAAAAAGAAAAAAAAAAAGTCAAAGTGGAAAGAGGCAAATCTGCGAACGGAGGATCCAGTCCCAGCTACCGGCCTAAGCCTCGCGTTGCAGTTAAGAAAGATGAAGGTCAGAGCTACCGAGGAACCATCGAGGCCAAGGGTCGAGGGAAGGGGCGGGGCTACTGTGGGAGGAACACAGGCCCCGCCCCCTCGAGAGGACGAGTCATTTCCTTCCGCCGAGGAACTGAGAACTGCCGGCCGAGTTGCAGGCGGGGCGCCTCGGGCAGGGCCTCCCTAGTCGGAAGCGGCCGTAAGCCCGAGCAGCTGGCCAGGGTGAGTGCGGGGAGGGGCGGAGGCATGTGCGAGGCTCTCGGCCTGTACCCTGGGAAGTGAGGATTCCACCTCGCCGAGAGATGAAGCACGCGTCGTTGCCTGGGAAACGGCATGACCCGCGGCCGGCGAGGGGGTGGGACTTCCGGAGCAGTTAGCGCTGTGAAAAGTTCTTAGTGGAGGCGGGACTTCCTGGAGCAAATTGGGGTTGTGCGCCGCTCAAGTCCGTTTACCTGCTTCCTAGGGCCCAAACCCAGAATGGGCGAGGTGGAGGCCCCGGGCCGCCTGTGGCTCGAGAGCCCCCCAGGGGGAGCGCCTCCAATTTTCCTGCCCTCAGACGGGCAAGCCCTGGTCCTGGGCAGGGGACCCCTGACCCAGGTCACGGACCGGAAGTGCTCCAGAACTCAAGGTGAGCGGGGCCTGAGCACGAGGGGGTGTGGCCTGCTGCAGAAGCGGGATCAATTTAGAGGGACTCGCTTGGCAGCTATGCGGGATTGCGTGGTGCAGCCGGCCCCGAAGTCGGAAGGTGCTCTTCTAGGGAGCACAGGAAGAGAACGATTGTGCTCGATTTAGAATTAGCCGGATTCTGGGGGGGAGAGGGGATGGATCCAGTTTCGGGAGGATGTTCACTGCGCGGATGATACTCAGGCCATAGGGAAATCTGGAAACAGACGACGACTCTTGTCAAAAGAAAAAAATGGTCCTATGGGGAAAAGTAAATGTCGCTAAGTTGGGATGGATGGTAACAGGCCCCAGACCTGCATCTAGCCACATTTTTTGTCAAGGAGGAAACCAATTTTACAGAGAAAGGTACCTCTCTGTCCTTTGCAAGGACCAGTGTCAGCAATTCTAGTGCCACCACCTGGCTACGGCATATCAAGCAGCCTGTCCCAGGTAGAGATAAACTGCCTCCTCCTCCCTCCCAATGGACGCTGTAGCCTGAGGCATGCCGCACTCCCCAGAAATGAGGGAACCAATCATACAAGGACACAAAATCCTGACTTCACCCCTTCAATCCTCAGTGGAGCTGGTCGCAGATCCTGAGACCCGGACAGTGGCAGTGAAACAGGTATCAGTGCCTCTGCAAGGGGCAGTAAGGCTTGGGGATGGGATTTGGGGAGGAATTGCAAGCTATCAGTGAAAGGTTACATTAGAAAAATCTGTTGGGGCCTGGCGTGGTGGCTCACGCCTGTAATTTCAGCACTTTGGGAGGCTCAGGTGGGCGGATCGCTTGAACCCAGGTGAAACCTCTCTCTAAAAAATTAGCCAGGGATGATGGCGTGTCCTTGTAGTCTCAGCTAATGGGGAGGCTGACACGGTAGCATCCTTTGAGCCCAGTAGGTCAAGGCTGCAGTGAGCAGTGATCACCACACTGTACTCCAGCCTAGGTGACAGCGAGAACCTGTCTCAAAAAAGAAAAAAAAAAAAAAAAAAAATACGGCTCGGAGAGAAGGGGGCGTGTCCAGTAAAGAAAGAAGTGTTGCGCGTTTTAATGGGGTGGGTACCCGTCTAACTCCCTAGAAATTGGACAAGGCGGCTGGGCGCGGTAACTCACGCCTGTAATCCCAGCATTTGGGGAGGCTCAGGCAGGCGGATCATCTGAGGTCAGGAGTTCGTGACCAGCCTGGCCAACATGGCGAAACTCCATGTCTCTACTAAAAATAAAAAATAATTAGCCGGGCGTGGTGGCAGGTGCGTGTAATCCCAGGTACTCTGGTGGCTGAAGTAGGTGAATCTTTTGAACCCGGGAGAGGTTGCAATGAGCCGAGATTGCGCTACTGCACTTCAACCTGGGCGACAAAACAAGACTGTTGTCTCCCCAGCCAAAAAGAAAGAAGGGTTGTAACCTTTCCAAAGCCCTGATTGGTACTACGGGGTGAAGAGGTGAGGCTTAAGCGTCTGATTAGTGGTGGAGAAAGGCAGATCCTTCTGCTGGGTATTTGATTGGAGGAGGCTCCGGTGGGGGAACCAGTCCCAGCTCCTCCCTCTCTTTCTGCAGCTGGGTGTTAACCCCTCAACTGCTGGGACCCAGGAGTTGAAGCCAGGGTTGGAGGGCTCTCTGGGGGTGGGAGACACACTGTATTTGGTCAATGGCCTCCACCCACTGACCCTGCGCTGGGAAGAGACCCGCACACCAGAGTCCCGGCCAGATACTCCACCTGGCACCCCTCCAGTGTCCCAAGAGGAGAAGAGGGATGCTGAGCCACTGAAGAAGCGGATTCGGAAGTCATCCCCCGGCTGGGAGAACTTGGAGAAGTTGCTAGTGTTCACCGCAGTCGGGGTGAAACCCCAGAGCAAGGTGAGGGGCACGCCGAGGCCTGAGGGGGCCGCCACACACTGGGACTCAGTCCTAGGTTTGTTGCGTGCTGTCTCTCAACTTCTTTTTAGCCTTTACTTACTCTTCTCAGAAATGGGCCTAATGACAAACACAGAGGTCGTTGTAAGCAGTGGGGAAAAGGATGTATGTCAGCTCCTGTGTGACCCATGGTGGTAATCAGCAGTGACCATGACCGTCTCACTAGGAGCAATTATGAGTATTTTTGAGTTCAGAGAGACGAGTTCAAATGCTGTTACTGCTACATTCTGAGTCCCATGTCTCCCATCTCTGTGATGCTGATTCGATAAAAAGCATGTGGTATAGTCCTTGACGTGCAGTTAGCACCCAAAGCTTTGCTCCTGTTTTTTTTTTTTTTTGAGACGGAGTTTCACTCTTGTTACCCAGGCTGGAGTGCAAAGGCGTGATCTCGGCTCACCGCAACCTCCGCCTCCTGGGTTCAAGCAATTCTGCCTCACCCTCCCGAGTAACTGGGACTACAGGCACGTGCCACCATGCCCAGCTAATTTTTGTATTTTTAGTAGAGACGGGGTTTTACCTTGTTGACCAGGATGGTCTCGATCTCTTGACCTTGTGATCCACCCGCCTCGGCCTCCCAAAGTGCTGCGATTATAGGCGTGAGATACCGTGCCCGGCCTGCTTTGCTCCTGTTTTTATTTCCACTATTTATTTTTTGTAAGGCGAGGGGGGGCCCCGCAGGCAGGAGGAGGTGGAAGGTGGGGGCGTCTCCCCCTTTTTATTTTTTTGAGACGGAGTCTTGCCCAGCGCTCAGGCTGGAGTGCAGTGATGTGATCTCAGCTCACTGCAACCTTTGCCTCCGGGTTTCAAGCAATTCTGCCTCAGCCTCCTAAGTAGGTGGAACAAGAAGCGTGCCACCGCCATGCCCAGCTAATTTTTTTATATTTTTAGTAGAAACAGGTTTTCACTGTGTTAGTCAGAATGGTCCTGATCTCCTGACCTTGTGACCCACCAGCCTCAGCCTCCCAAAGTGCTGGGATTACAGGCGTGAGCCCCTGCACTCGGCCTATTTTCACTGTTATTAGGCCTCCGAGGTGGAGGTGGCCAGGGGAAGGAGGAGGCTGGTTAAGACATTAACCCACATTTTAGAGACTGGAATCCTGGGGCCGGGGGCAGTGAGATTACAGTCTCTGGCTGCCTCAGCAGAATCACGGAGACCTGACATGGAGGTGCTCTGTGACTCGGTTTCCCCATGTGTGAGACGGCAGGGTTGGCGTGTAAGCCTGTGAGTGGGGAGGCTCAGAGGTGTCACGGTGCTGCTGCTCTTTCCTTGGTGACGCCAGGTGGCCGGCTTTGATCTGGACGGGACCCTCATCAGCACGCGCTCTGGGAAGGTCTTCCCCACTGGCCCCAGTGACTGGAGGTGATAAGAGGCAAAAGAAGGGACTGAGTGAGGCCTGGAGTCCACCTCTGGCCCCGGGTCAACCCTGCCACTTCCTACCTGCCCTAGGATCTTGTACCCAGAGATTCCGCGTAAGCTCCAGGAGCTGGAAGCTAAAGGCTACAAGGTACATGCAGGTGGTGCCTCCACGGGCAGGTGCCCAGGGCCCTGGTGAGCAGGGCACCTGGTGATACCCTCTGCTCCCCAGCTAGTGATCTTCACCAACCAGATGAGCATTGGGCGTCGGAAGCTGCCAGCTGAGGAGTTCAAGGCCAAGGTGGAGGCTGTGGTGGAGAAGCTGGGGGTTCCCTTCCAGGTATGGCTGGAAGGGAGACTGGGGGCTATGTGGGAGGACAGAGATCCAGAGAGAGGGTGTCAGACCATGGGGTGGGTGGCATGGAGGCCTCAGGGGTGATGCTGATAGGAACCCATCAACTACAAATGCTTTAGCTCTGCTTTGCTGGGTGAGGGCTGGGGTAGCATCCAGTAAGTGCCTGAGGGGGAGCTGAGGCTGGGGGCCCCTCCCATCCACAGGTGCTGGTGGCCACGCATACAGGCTTGTACCGGAAGCCAGTGACGGGCATGTGGGACCATCTGCAGGAGCAGGTGAGCCTCTTAGCCTGCCCAGCCTCCCTCCTTTCCCCTGCTCCAGCCCCTCACTTCCAGGCCTCTGGTCCCAGCCTCCTTACTCCTCCAGTCCTCTCAGGCCCACCTTCTGTTTTTTTCGGTCACATTCTATGTGTTGGTTTATGAGGCCAGTGCTCCTAAACGTTCTAAATCAGAGTAGTGGAGAAAGAAGCTGTTCATCTCCTTGTGTGTGCATTTGTTGTAAAGTTTAGCACATTCTTGAACTGAAATTCAGTTGTGACCAGGACAGCCTCGTGCAGCGGGACCCGATGGGCAGACTAGCGTGTGAAACAGCGGGAGGGAAGGAGGTGGAGAAAGCAGGCATCGTTTCAGCCCTGGTGGGCAGGGATGGCCTCTGAGGAGGTGACATCTTTGGAAAGGCCTCAGACAGGGCAAGGAGGGAGCCACATGGACACCTGGGGAAAGTGGTCCCCATGGAGTGACAGCAAGTGCAAAGGCCCTGAGGCAGCCCCTAGGCTGGGTGGGTTAGGGACAGAGAGGCCCATGCAGCTGGCCCTGGGCAAGGGAAGGGAGAGGACAGGGCTACAGGGAGGGCACCGCTTTTGCCCTAAGGGAGGCAGGAGCTGAAGCTGGGCAGGTGCCATCTGGCGGCCGTGTGGGGAATGGGCAGGGGCCGAAGCCGGGAGGCCTGGAGGGAGGGGGCTGCGTGGAGAGACCATGAGGGCCAGGAGCAGCGTGCAAAGTGGCTGGATGGTGGGGACATGGAAGGTCAGAAGAGGAGGACTGATGCTGGGCACAGACCAGGTGGAGCAGCCCTATCCCCCTGCGGTGGACAACTATGGGAAGGGTCTCCTCGCTGCTGTCTCCTGTAGGCCAACGAGGGCATGCCCATCGCCATCACCGATAGCATCTTCGTAGGAGGTAAGGGCCTGGGGGCTGCTCAGGGGGGCAGGGACCCTCCCTCCCTGCCTCCCTCCAAGCTGGCTGGGGGAGATGGGGTGTCCTGTGTGTTCCAGATGCGGCCGGCCGCCCAGCCAACTGGGCCCCAGGACGAAAGAAGAAAGACTTCTCCTGCGCGGACCGCCTGGTGAGGCCCCTTGCCCCTGCCCCAAGCCCAACCCTGGGCGCTGGTGTCTGATGTCTGTCCCCGCCCCCAGTTTGCCCTCAACCTCGGCCTACCCTTCGCCACACCTGAGGAGTTCTTCCTGAAGTGGCCAGTGTCTGGCTTCGAGCTCCCTGCCTTTGACCCGGTGAGGCCCTGGGGTGGGAGGGGGAGAGCTCCCGGGATTAGGACAGATTGAGTCTCAAGGGTGTGTCCCACCCCTCGCAGAGGACCGTTTCCCGCTCGGGGCCTCTGTGCCTCCCTGAGTCCAGGGCCCTCCTGAGTTCTACCCCGGAGGTGGTTGTCGCCGTGGGATTCCCTGGGGGTGAGTGCCCAGCCCGTTCTCAGGAGCCCTGAGCCCCATCTGGGTCCTAGGCCACCCACCTACCCTGCTCCCCACACAGCCGGGAAGTCCTCCTTCCTCAGGGAGCACCTCGTGTCAGCCGGATACGTCCATGTGAACAGGGTATGTCTTTCCAGTTCCTTCACCTCTCAGCTTGTTGGGGGCAGTTCCCTCCATCACTGCCTCCCCCCTCAATCCCATTTGTGATCACTCGTGCCCCAGGACACACTGGGTTCCTGGCAGCGCTGTGTGACCGCCTGTGAGATGGCCCTGAAGCAAGGGAAACGGGTCGCCATCGACAACACAAACCCAGACGCCCCGAGCCGCGCCAGGTAGTGGAACCATGGTGCACTGTGGTGGGATGTGGTGGGGGGGCTGTGGTGGTGAGGGGGCCCTGCACATCTGGCCCCTCCCCCACAGGTATGTCCAGTGTGCCCGAGCCATGGGCGTGCCCTGCCGCTGCTTCCTCTTCACTGCCACTCTGGAGCAGGCTCGCCACAACAACCGGGTGAGCCTGCTTGGCCCAGACACCCCCAGGCTGCACCCCCACACTCCCACCCCTCCCATGACCCCTGGGCCTGCTGCCCCCCCTTTTGTTCCCCCAGTTTCGCGAGATGACGGACTCCTCACACGCCCCCGTGTCAGACATGGTCATGTACGGCTACAGGTAGGGTTGGGGCCTGCAGGGGGCAGGGTGCTGGATGGGCCCTATAAGCTGGGCTGTCCCTCACTGTCCCCACCACTGCCAGGAAGCAGTTCGAGGCCCCGACACTAGCGGAAGGCTTTGCTGCCATCCTGGAGATCCCATTCCGCCTGTGCCTGGAGCCGAGGCTGGAGCGGCTGTACTGCCAGTTCTCCGAGGGCTGACCCACCCAGCTCCCCTCCACAATAAATAGCTCCCCTCCACAATAAATGCTGATTCTCTTTGAACTTGGCCAGCCTGTTGCTGGGAGGAGGGTGGTCACATGGTGGAGGGATCCAGGCCTGGCAGTTTCTTACATGGATGGAGGTTTTCGGGACATTTTCAGGTAACAAAAGGTGGGGCCCCCACAGAGCAGATTCCAGCTTTGCTGGGATCTGGCCCAGGTACTTACAGAGAAGGGTATGCACAGGGGGCTGTGAGGCCCGCCCAGACCCAGGTGGTGAGGCCGCAAGGCTCAATCCAGGGCTAAGTTCAAGACCTGGCATGACCCCCAAGGACTCAGGTTCTGCGGCACTGGACTTGAACCCAGGGCCTGGCACCCATGAGCACCTGGACTGCTGGGCATCAGGCAGTGAGCACAGGGGCAGGCAAGTTTTTAAAAGCCTTTATTGGGGAAACATACAGGGTTGGGGACCGTCCTTGAGCCCTCAGGACGCCATCCTCCATGTTGCTGGGCAGTCGAAGTCCCCAGGGGCCCCTGCTCAGAAGCGTGTCACCTAGGGGCAGGGGTGCAGTGGGGGCTGCTGGCCATAGGCGCCCAAGCACTGACCCCACATCCCTGTGAGCAGAGGCCCCGCCCAGGCCTGGACACTACCTCTGTGGCCGTGAGCTGCAGCTGCCACCGCCTAGAAAGCCTGGGACCACCGAGAACACTGTGCCTCCCCCTCTGCTCTGCTCTCCCTGAGGCCAAGGTCGCCCTGCTGCTTTTGCAACCCCACCCCCACAGGCCCGAGTCCCTCCTGGATTCCACAGGGTCACCACTTACCAGTCTCTGCAGGGGCCTCGTCTGTGACTCCTGGAGGGACCTAGCCCAGGGTAGCTACTACCCCCCCATCTGTGGGGAGGAATGAGACCAGGGTGAGCATGTGGGAAGGGCAGGAGGAGCTGCGCAGGCCAGGGCCGGCCGGGCTGCCTCACCCCTCGCTGCTGCTGCTCCTGCTCCAGGTTCCGCTGTAGGACCTGTTGTTGGTTGGCAATGACGCGCCGGATGCCGTTGACAAAGTTGCCCTGGTCATGGGGGATGAGGCCGATGAAGATTTTCTTCTCTGAAGAGTACAGGAGCATGAGCACGCGGATCTCACACGACGCTTTGTAGGAAAAGTGCACGCAGCCAGCCTGGCAGGCACGGGACATGGTGTCACCAGACAGTACCACAGGCAGCATCCCTCCAACCAGGCGGGCACCCTGCCGTGGGCTCCATTGGCCAGGCTCTGCCTAACTGCTGTCCTCACACTCCCCTCACCCCCCTCAAGGTGGGCCCCATTATTATGACACTGTGGCCAAGAGACTCCGTAGGGGGAGGCCCGGGAACCTGCATTTCGGAGCTCCTGGGCAGGCCATGCTGTCTGGGGTCACCTCACCCAAGCCATGCCACCTGAACAACCAGCCACGACTCTGTCACCCAGGCTGTAGTGTGTGGCACCATCTTGGCTCACTGCAACCTCCACCTCCCGGGTTCAAGTGATTCTCCTGCCTCAGCCTCCTGAGTAGCTGGGATTACAGGTGCCCGCCACCACGCCTAATTTTTTTATTTTTAGTAGAGATGGGGTTTCACCATGGTTACCAGGATGGTCTCAAACTCCCGACCTCAGGTGATCCACCTGCCTCTGCCTCCCAAAGTCCTGGCATTATTAGTGTGATCCACCATGCCTGACCAGAGGGGAGTCTTGAAAGTTCTTTACTATAAAAGCATCTACACCCAGACCCCTCATGCACAAATGGTCTTGTGACAGCTGAGTCGAAAGTAACTATAAGGTAGTTTTGGGACAGATGCTACCAGATATGGCCCGCACAGAAGATGGCCATCAGCAGGTGAACGCCAAGCCTCCCACCTCACAGATGGAGAAACTGAGCCCAAGAGAGAAGTGGACTCTGCTACGACGACCACCAGACACTGGGGCCCTGCGGGGACAGACAGCCCTCCCCGCCTGGCCAGGGGCCTTTGGGATGTGGCACAAGCTGCCAGGGCCTGTTTTTCCATGAGGAAACCTGGAGTGACAAGGGCACCTGCCCCTGGGGAGAGCAACCCTGATGTGGCAGAGGAGGGGCAGCCCCATACATTGAGATCAGTGCCCCTCTGTCCAGTGCAGTGGGGACAGCGCAGAGCCTCCCAGAGCCAGCCACCCTCTCCCCAGCCTTCCTGGACATGGCGCTCAGCTCCTGTCCCACGTCCACACCCGTGAGGGATCCTGCCTCTCCGCCCTGCCAGCGCCACTCACGAAGCCATTGTCCATGATGCGGCACAGGCTCTTCAGCGTCTCCAGGTCCTTGGTGAAGTGGAACTGCACCAGGCGCGAGTTTCGGAACAGCGGCACCAGCGTGGTCTGAAGAAGCAAGGGGACCCACGCTCTGGCTTCTGCCACCACAGCCTCCGGCTCGAAGCTTGCTGGGTCCCCTGGGCTCAGGACCAAACCGAGGCTCTCACGTCTTCTCCTAGCTCAGGAAGTGTCATCTCTGCCCCTCACTCCCCTTCCTCAACCAGCCCCAACCCTGGAATCTTGGGGAAGCCGCTCTCAGGTTTCTCGGCAGCCCTCCAGGTCATGGCGGCCCTGGCCCTGCTCAGTCCCTACACAATAGCAGGCTGGGTACCTGGAACCCCCTCAGCGCCAGGCCTGCTGCAGTTCTGCCCCCACTCAGCCAGCCCAGGGCTCGCCCTTGGGAAGGCCCTCACCAGCAGCTGCTGCGGGATGAGCTGCATGCACAGCTTTCTCGGCCATTGCTCGGTCCTCCTGCGGGGCATGAAGGCACAAGGGTCAGGAGGCCCCGGCTCCCCTGGATGCCGCCTCTGCCCCCAGCCCAGCACTCACAGGATCTCTCCCTGGTTCACGTAGACGTGGGACGGCAGCCACCTCTTGGACCGGCTGTTGGGCTCAGGCCTGGGCTTTTGGAGGAGAGACAAAGAGGAGCCCCTCAGGGCTGGGCGCCCAACGCCTGTGTCCCTTCCCAGCCAGAGTCCACGAGGATCTTGGGGTCCCAGGTCCCCGGGCTGCCAAGGGCTCACCTCCTGCCACTCCATGACGCCGCTCCACGCCAGGAACTTGTTGTTGACGATCTGCACTGGGCCTGCGTTGACGCCACCAGGCCCCACTGCCTGCGGGAATGGAAGGGGGTGGTAAGAGGGACTGGGAAACCTGGCTGTCCTGGGGCCTGCCCTCCTTCCCTCCGTCAGCCCCAGCAGGCGCCCAGGAACAGGCCCTGCCCCTCCCCTGTGCACAGCCCTGCAAGGCTCCCAATGCACTGAGACAGGTCCCGGCCCTCAGCTGGGGGCCTGCAGAGTCTGCCTCAACTGGCAAGGCGCAAGCAGGACACAAGGTCACAGGCCAGGGCCTTCTAGCCTCATGATCCCAACCCCTCCTACCAACACCCACCCTCTGGCCCTGCAGAGCCCCCCCGCCAGTGGCCACTTTTCTGCGGAGCCCTGGTGGGAACCCGCCCCTCCTCTCGGCTCCTCTGCAGCTCCCTGCTCCAGCCATCGCATCACACTCCACCTGCAGCAAGTCTGGCTTCACAACCCGGGCGGCCGGGCCTAACTCCGCGCTGTCCCCACAGGGGCTGTGCTGGGTTGACACACCTGCTTGCGGGTGGTGATGACCTGCCGGATGGCGCTGACAAAGCCGCTCTGGTCGTAGGGGATGAGGCCCATGAAGATCTTCTTCTTGGACGAGTACAGGAGCATGAGCACGCGCACCTCACAGGGGGAGATGTGGGGGAACAGCATGCAGCCCGCCTGCGGGGCCAAGGGGCAGGACCTGAAGGCACAGCCCGGTGCCGCCGGGCCCCCACCACCCCAAGACTGCCCCACCTGGAGGGGTTGAAGGAGCTCGTGAGCAGACAGAGATCCCCACAGTTAAGGCCTCGGCCACCAGTGTGGAACCTCTGAGAGCCCATGCTGTGCCCATCAGTGTCTCCCCTGCCACTGGGCACCCAGGCTGCGGTGAGAACACCGAGAGGGCACCACCTCCCATCCCCTGCCCACCTGATGGGGTGACCTGGCCTGGGGGTTAAGGGTGCAGGCAGTGCCTCCCCCAACTCTGCTGCCTCCTAGCTGTGTCACCTAACACCAGCCACCTCTTGCTTTTTGGAGTCCATTTCCTTATTGGTAAAATGAAATAATAGCGTACACAATCAGTGCCACATAAAGGCTCAGCAGATGAGGTGTTGGTGCCTCTTGGATGAGATGTGGGAGAACGGCCTGACAGATGTGCCCAACTGTGGTGCCCAGATAAAGGGGTGTGCCCATCCCAGAACCCCACATCCCCTTCCCACACCAGCCCACCCCCGCAGTGCAGTCCCCAGCAGGCTGCCAGCCTAAGCCCTCGACTTTGGGTCCAGCCCAGGGAGTACCCACTCAGGGCCCTGTCCCTGGCCTTCCTGGAGCCACACAGTCTCCCTCCCAGGCCATGAGTGGGGAGCGAGGGTGGAGGTCCACGTTCCCTACAGACTGGGAACTCGGGGCCTGGACACGCCGGCACTCAGCTAAGAGACCCTAGGCCAGGCATAAGCCCTGGTCTGCACAGGCCATGAGGGAGAAGGCAAGACCCTAGCAGAAGCCACGGCACCTCCAAGCAGCAGCTGAGATGGGGTAGAGGCAGAATATCCCAAGAGGGAGTAGGGACTGGGGAAATCCCCAGAGCCAGGTCCTCTGGGCAGACAACTTGGTCCCACCCCATCCCTGCCTCCTCCCCAGCACCCGCCATCTTCCACACCCCCTTTCTGCCCTGTGCAGTGCCAGAATCCCAGTCACCTGAACAGCCTCACCAGCTGGGTTCACCCAGCACTCACTAGGTACTAAAGCTAACGTTTCAAGCGCTTTATAAAAACCCTTCTTCCAGCTATCCTCTGAGTGGCCCCAGGAAGCACAGCTCCTGTTAGCCCCATCTTACAGATGAGAAGGCTGAGCCCCAGAGCACCTCTCCCTCCTGGCTGGCACTTGTGCCCAGCACACACATTTACCAGGTCCCTGACATATGCCGTGTGTTCCCGACAGGCTCCTGGACCCCAGCAAGGCTACCCACAGCTGGGCACGGATGCAGAAGCCAGATGTCTCCCAGGCTGAGTTCATTCACCCGGTGCTCTATTGAGATGCCTGGGGTCCCAGAGGCCATGAGGGCTACCCTTGACCCCAGGGGAGACCCCCAGCCCCCATCCAGGCTGTGGGTAGAGCACTGCCTACAGCAGCACTTCTATAAGGGGCCACCCCCGCCCGCCCGAGCCCGCCCCACTCACGAAGCCGTTGCCCATGACTCGGCAGAGCCCCTTGAGCGAGTCACAGTCTCTGTTGGTGAAGTGGAACTGTGCCAGCTGGGAGTTGCGGAACAGGGGGCCCAGCGTGGTCTGGGGGCGACAGGGGACAGAGACCTGGGTCAGCTGGGCATGGGGGTGCTTGAAGAGGTGGGGGCAGCACAGGGCGTGTCTCACCAGCAGCTGCTGTGGGATCAGCTGCATGATCAGCTTCTGCGGCCACTGGTCAGTCTCCCTGCGGGAAGGAGCGGGTCAGAAAGGGCTGCCCTGATCCCCACGGCCCCGGCCCCCGCCACCGCCCTGGCCGCCCCAGCCTCAGCACTCACAGGTTCTCCCCTTGGTTCACATAGGCTTGGCAGGGCAGGGTCCGCTTCAGCTTCGCGGTGGAGTCAGAGTAGGGTCTGCGCTTCTGCATGGGCAGGAGGGATGTCAGCATGCACCGCCGAGATGCCCCACCTTCCCCTCAGGGGCAAGACAGGACCCTGGAAACCAGTCCCGGCCCACAGGGACTCACCTCCTGCCACTCCAGGACGCCACTCCAGGCCAGCAGCTTGTTGCTGAGCCGGTGCTCGCTCACTGCCAGACCCCCGAGGGTGAGCCCAGGCGAGGAGGGACCGATGGGACCCAGCGCCCCGAAAACCCGAGCACCTTCCTGCAATAGAGTTGGGGGATCGGTGGGAAAACGGAGGCAGGGGCCTGCAAGGACAGGCAGTCCCTACACACCCCAGAGGGGCCAGCCCAATATTCAGACCCCATCCCTTGCTGGACACCCACAGGGCCATGTCCAAACCCTCTGCTCAGCGCTCAGGACCCAACATCGTGGTCCTCAAGTCCTTTCCCACTGCTCCCTCAGGACCCTTCCTTCCCAGAGCCTGCTCTCACCTTGACACTGGCCGGGCAGATTCCTGAAGCCAATAGCCGGCCCCACCTCTAGCCTTTGCCCCAGCTGCGTGCCTGATCGATTCCTCCAGACCCAAGTTAGAAGCCAGCTGTGGAGGACTTTCTCATGTCCCATGCTGGGCCCAGGTGTCCTTGCAATCCCGGGAGGCACAAACCTGCATACCGGCTTGCCCTGTCTTTGCCAGGCTGAAACCCTCCTCAGGCTCCTGTCCCCGCAAAGTTCCGACTCCTCCCCCGGCCCAGGCCAGTGCCCACCTCTCTGGCCTTATCAGTCTGACCCCAGGGAGGCAAGGAGGAGGCGAAGAAACACAAAGGAGACGGAACCATCCAGAAGAAAAAAGCAAGGCCAGGCACAGTGGCTCAAGCCTGTAATCCCAGCACTTTGGGAGGCCGAGGCGGGTGGATCACGAGGTCAAGAAATCGAGACCATCCTGGTCAACATGGTGAAACCCCGTTTCTACTAAAAATACAAAAAATTAGCTGGGCATGGTGGCGCGTGCTTGTAATCTCGGCTACTCAGGAGGCTGAGGCAGGAGAATTGCCTGAACCCAGGAGGCGGAGGTTGCGGTGAGCCGAGATTGAGCCATTGCGCTCCAGCCTGGGTAACAAGAGCGAAAACTCCGTCTCAAAAAAAAAGAATTGAGGAGAAGGGGGAAAACGACTGGGAGAGAGCTGGGACACCACCCCCTGGAGGGGTCCTACAGACCAAAACTGTGCAAAACACCAGAAGCTTCTAGCAACAAAGCCAAGCAAAGCCACAAACGCTTCTCACAGGGCACTCTCCCACGCTTTCATTTTTTGATGTTTTTTTTTTTCAGACGGAGTCTCACACCTATTGCCCGGGCTGCATGCAGTACAGTGGCGCAATCTCAGTTCACTGCAACCTCCACCTCCTGGGTTCAAGCGACTCTCCCGCCTCATCATCCCAAGCAGCTGAGATTACAGGTGCTCGCCACCACGCCTGGCTAATTTTTTTTTAAGTAGAGATGGGGTTCCACCATGTTGGCCAGGCTGGTCTTGAACTCCTGACCACAAGTGATCCACCTGCCTCAGCCTCCCAAAATGCTGGGATTACAGGCATAGGTCACTGCACCTGGCCTTGGTTATCTTTCTTAAAAACCAAAAACATCTCACAGCAAACAAGGGAAAGCTTGGCAAACAGCCTGGCGGCAGGAAACCCATGAGATCTCCCTGGAGTAGGCACCTCCAGCCAGAGGAAAAAAATTCTAAGGGTCATTTCTTTTTTTCTTATTACAAATGGCTATTTTCCAAATTTCTATAAAGTACATCTTTCCTTCCAGAATACTAGCAAACAAAAAATTTGTGAAAGCTTAAAAAGATGAACCTGAACAAACTTGGTCTCCGCCCACACAGGTGATTCTGGTTTTGGGCAATCGTCAGAAGGTCAGGAAGAAAACCTGAGTGTGCTGGCGTCAGAATGAGTTGTTGCTGGGGCTTCAGGCACCACACCGGACATCCAGCATCTCAGAAGATGAGTTAAAATGCACAGTCCGGCAGGGCACGGTGGCTCACACCTGTAACCCCAGCACTTTGGGAGGCCAAGGTGGGTGAACCACCTGCGGTTGGGAGTTTGAGACCAGCCTGCCCAGCATGGCCAAACACAGTCTCTACTAAAAATAGAAAAATTGGCCGAGCATGGTGGCGCATGCCTGTAATCCCAACTACTCTGGAGGCTCAGGAGGAGAATCGCTTGAAACCGGGAGGTGGAGGTTTCAGACTCCAGCCTTCGAGATGGCAGCGAGACTCCATCTCAAACAAACAAACAAACAAAAACAACGCACAGCTGGAGACGACTTTAGAGATGAGGGTATACTTGCAACATAAAAGTTGTTTATGGCGCTGGGACCTGGGACATCTAGACTGCACACACAAGTCCGCATATACAGCGACACGTACGCATTTGCTGCCACAAAGATGGGTAAAAATCAGGCGACCGCACTTAAGAGTCCAAGCCACATACCGAACGTCTGCTTATCTAGGAGGGCAGGTTGACTCAGGACTTCAAAGATGCTAACATCTGAAGCCCTGCTAAGGAGCAGGTATGCTTGCCTAAAACCCAGGAATATCTTCAGCTGCAGGAGCAGCACATTAAGATGGGAGGATCATATTTAAAACGATTAAGGTGCAACCTAAAGGAAATCTCACATCTCGTCTGCGCGGGCCTGACACCCCTACGTGCACAGGGCACTCCATCTAATACTTGCACTGAGCTTTAAAGCCTTGCGGGGCACGTCTGAGGACCCAGAAAACACTTCTGAACGACTAGATGCGAATGCTGCAGGAAGGGGCGAAGACAGGGGAGGGAAGGGCTACGTTTAAGTTGTGGGAGGTAATCGGAATCTGGGTATCCATGTTTAAGACCCAGGAAGCCTGCTTAAAACTTCAGTAGGCCTGCCACAGCGCTGTGCCATCCACACCCCCGGGGCAGTGTATTTAAAAAGTGGGCAGGAGCGCGGGCCCTCGGAAAATCTCACATCGGTGCAACCCTGTGCACACTGCAAAGTCGCGATGTGCAGTTTTACCACCCCGGGTAAACCTTACGGTTTCTGAAAAGCATGTGCGTCTTCTAGGTCTGGGGAAGGGTATGCCCAAAGTACCTGCAAAGCTGAGGATTTACGTTTACGGTCTGGGCTCACGGCAGTCCATCAAGACATCCCACATCTGGGAGCCGGAGCACATTCTAGGTGCGCACTCCACCGGCACAGCGCGGACCCCGGGGAGAACGCCCACGGGTGCGACATCTGCGTGCACTTGTACAAAGCGCGGGCCCCTCCCTCGCCGCCGTCCCCAACCCTCGCCCCCATTTCCACGTTCCCTGCCCGGAGAGCCAACAACTTTCCAACGGGAAAAACAAACGCGCGTGGTGGCCGCCGGTCCGCCGCCCCCCACCCGCGTTCAAATCGGACCGCGGAGTCAGCAGTAATTCGAGCCCGCCCCGCTCCCGTCCCCTACCCCCCACCCCGGCCCGAACGCGCAACAAAGGGGAGAGCGCGGCGCGAACCACCGGGAGCTCCACGGGGGAACCTGGCCCCGGGCGGGACCACCCTTTGGGCCACAGGGGAGACCCCGGAGCGGAGGGGGCCGCGGACAAAGGCGTGAGCCCGGGGTAGGGGCGGGGCCGTGGAAGGCTCTGGAAAAAGGGCGGGGGGCTCACCATGGGAGGGGCCGAGCGGGCCCGGATCCGCGGAGGCTGCGGGCCTCGGGGGCTGGCCGGCCAGGAGCGCGAGCGGACGGCGCGCACTACGAGGGGCCGCGGGGGGCGGCCGCGACCGCCGAGGGGACCCCCGGCGCCGGAGCGATACGGGGCACGGCGCGGACGGACCATGGCGGGCGTGGGCCAAGAGGGCAGGGAGCTGCCGCGGGCCACACGGGGGTCTGCAGGCTCCACCGACTGAGGGGCGCGGGTGCGCGGCTTCGGGGGAGACTGGCTGAGCCGTACCAAGCGCGGGGGACGCGCCGACGGAGAGGGGTCGCCGCGGCCGAACCACTGCGGCTGCCGGGGGAGCCCGGCGCGTACCAAGCGCGTCTGAGGGGGCGTGGCCAGAGCGTACCAAGGCGGCGCGGGGGAGCGGGGGGCGCGGGCCGGAGCGGAGTGTGGGCTCGGCGGTCCTCCGGGCCAGGGAGGACGCGCGAGCAACAACTTCAGGGGGCGTGGCGGGAAAGGGATCCCCTACCAAACGCGGGGGAAGAACGAAGGCGACACCATGCTGGCTCCGTGCCGGGGCTCGGGACGCCGGGAGACCTTATCGGGAGCTACGGGCCCGCAGAGACGGGAGATCGCTCCAAAAAACATCAGGGAAGAGGGGAGGACAAGGGAACCCACTAAGAGGGAACCCACTGAGGGTACGGATTGCGCCCGAGGTGGGGGGGGGCTGAAGGTTTGCAGGCGGTGACGTGGCGAGGTGGGCAGGGGACTTCAACTCCCAGCGGCCCCCGCGCGGCCTGGGCGTGGCCGGGGGGGGTCCCGGGAGGCTCCACCCATTCGTTTCGCGCCCAGGCTCCGCCCGCACCCCTTGGCGGCGACTCCGAGCTTCTCGCTACTCACGTCGCATCCCGGCCTCGTGTGGATTCGCTCATTCGCTCTGCTAAAATGAAATGACCGCGCAGCCGCTTACTAGTGGTTGTGTAAGATTTGCCCTCGGCGTCTTTTTTCTTAAACGTGGGTAAACCCTAGAGTGCTTATGGGTATCAAATGTTTGGCGCAGTCACTATTCCAATGCTAGCTTTTCTTAAAAAAAAAAAAAAAAAAAAAATCTGTTTTGAGTACCCTGTCCGGTTCTGTGCTCGGCGATGAGTATATACGGCGACGACCGAATGAGACCAGGTTCCTCAGAGCCCACGGTCCACCGGGAGAGACGTAAGCGCACATCCACAGGGCCATGGGATGTGCCCACGGGGAGGTAAAGTTAGCAAGAGAAGTCAAGAAAGCGACCTGTGAGCAGCCTGCCCCTCCAGATGACCGGAAAAGTGTGCCAAGAGGAGGGAACAGCAAAGACACAAATCCTGAAAGTCGAAGGAATAAAAGGGAGCCAGTGTGGCTGGAACCGAGTGAAGGTAGAGGAGAAATAGACAAGGATGTATGAGGAGGTTAGGGAGGGAATGCCTACTACTGTTTAGGATGTTGACCTAACAATGTAGAATGATACGGATATCGGAGCCTGGAGAGAGAAATTCGGGAGTCATCAGTGTTTGGAGACTGGATGAGATCACAAAGAGACTGGGACACATCCCTTTAGCAGTCACGACATGAGAAGCAACCAGCAAAGGAGACAGGAGTGGCCAGGGAAATGGCAGAAGATCCCTTTTGCCCGTCCCAGTCTCCCTGCCCCACTAAGCCCCCTGTCCAGGGGCTTCCCAGAGCTGACTGGAGCCCAGCCCCAAATCCAGCCTGGATTGTGGGCGAACAGAGTCGGAGATCCTGAACACAAACTGCGAGTTAGCTATCAACAGGTACCTCCAGTGCCCTGTCAATCACCCACGTGAGGACAACCTGGAAGCAGGAAAGAGAGAAAACAGAGCTTCCTTAATCTCCCGGAATCCTCACTTCTCCCCTTCTTGTTGGTCCAGATCGTCAAGATCTCTGGCCTGGGTGACGCCTCCTAATTCTTGCTGCCTTCTCTCACTAGTCAAAACCATCCATTGGCTTCCCAGTGCCCTTAGCATTAAATCCAAGCTTGGTGACCCCTGCTGCCGCCCCAGCAAAAAAAAAATCTCTTTGCCATCCTTCCTGTTCTGTACCTAGTTAATGCCTTCCCATCCCTCAGAACCCATCAGGACACACGTGAGTGTGAATGCCCCGGATTGCATAAGCATGGAGGTATGCCAGGGTGTACTCCAGAGTGAGCAAAATGGGAACCCAGTCAGAAAGTGACATGAAAATGTAGGCTGAAATTCTGTCAGTTAATACTGCAACAAAACTCTCTGAAACCATCTCATTTACCCAGTCGACCAACTTGAAAGACACTTTCCTTTTCATCTGTGAAGCCCGCTGCTGGGGCTAGCAGGCTGTTATGACTAAGCACTTCCACTTCCGTCTCAAACTGCTTACTTCCTGAAAGGTGGCTGTCTGATCCTAACGTGTTTACGCCAGAAGTTCTTAATAGTTTACTACCAAACTAATGAAATGAATGCAAGACAGTTGTTTATATACAAACCAGACTGCTTGCATTGGAAAGATTAAAAGTGGGTTGGTTGTTAAAAACATGCCGGGCGTAGTGGCTCACTACAGGCTCAAAGGGCCTGTAAATCCCGCACTTTGGGAAGCCGAGGCGGACAGGTCACTTGAGGTCAGTAGTTCAGGAGCACTCTGGCCAACATGGAGAAACACCACCTCAAATACAAAAATTAGCGGGCATGGTGGGTGGCATGTGCCTGTAGTTCCAGCTACTCAGGAGGCTGAGGCAGGATAATCACTTGAACCTGGGCAGGGGGTGGGGGGACGCCGAGTTGCAGTGAGCTGACATTTTGCCACCGCACTCCAGCCTGGGCAACAGAGCAAGTTGACTCCATCTCTTAAAAAAAAAAAAGCTGCCAAGTTAGGTACATGCAAAGCAACTGTAAATTATTTAATGAAAATGCTCATAAGAACCTAGGAAGACTTAGCCCTTAATTTGTTTCATAAATGTCTTTAGCTTCTCCAGCCACTTAAAAAAAATTTTTTTTAATGAAATGACTCATTGTGGTTTGTGGATGCAGTTTATACAAGAATGTGATGTTCTACTGGGCGCAGTGGCTCATGCCTGCAATCTCAACACACTGGGAGGCCAAGCTGGGAGGACTGCTTGAGCCCAGCCTGGGCAACATAGTGAGACTCCCACCTCTACATGAATTACACTAATTAGCTAGTCATGGTGGCATGCACCTGTGGTCCCGGCTACTGAGGAGGCTGAGGTGGGAGGATCTCTTGAGCCAAGGACATTGAGGCTGCAGTGAGCCGTGTTCACACCACTGCACTTCAGCCCAAGTGACAAAGCAAGACCCTGTGTCAAAAAAAAAAGAACGCCAGGCACTGTAGCTCACACCTGTAATCCCAGCACTTTGGGAGACCAAGGCGTGTGGATCACGAGGTCAGGAGTTCAAGACCAGCTTGGCCAACATGGAGAAACCCCGCCTCTACTAAAAATACAACATTAGCTGGGAGTGGTGGCGCACACCTGTAATCCCAGCTACTCAGGAGGCTGAGGCAGGAGAATTGATTGAACCCGGGAGGTGGAGGTTGCAGTGAGCCGAGATCGCTCCATTGCACTCCAGCCCAGGTGACGGAGCAAGACTCGGTCTCAAAAAAAAAAAAAAAATGTGATGTTGTGTGTTAACTGGCAGACCAATACTGAAAGGATCTTGGTCCTACATATGAGAGATACCTGTTTAAATGTTCTTGGTTAAAATAAGATGTTTAAAATGTTCAGGGGGTCATTGGTACTATTTGCCATGTATTTCTAGCTCCCCACTTGACCAGCATTTTGACTCCATTTGGCTGAGTGGGGCCATGTGATTAATTTTGACCAATAAGATGTGAGGCCATGTGATTAATTCTGGCCAAGGAGATAGGAGCAGAAGTGACACGTGACTTCAGGCTAGATCACTTAACTGCTAGTGAGAGACCCGACCTCTCTGTGCCTTTACTACGTCAACTGACAACCTTCATGATCTTGCTGCACGGAATTCAAGCTGACACAATATAGCACGAGTGAGAGAACCCACCTTTGCTGTTTGAAGCCACTGCAATTTTGCGGTTATTACACCATAATCCAGCCTTTCCTGATATATGCTTTTTTTCCCCCAAATAATCCCAGTTTAACCAACATTTCTTTTCTTTTTTCTTTTTTATAATAGAGACAGGGTTTCACCATATTGGTCAGGCTGGTCTCTAACGCCGAACCCCAGGTGATCTGCCCACCTTGGCCTCCCAAAGTGCTGGGATTACAGGCATGAGCCACTGCACCCGGCCCTCAACAATTCTTAAACCAATCAACTACCAGTCTGTTTCCTAGAACATACCGGCTGTACGTATAGGTTGGATGACATAGGCAGAGACATAACAACATGGACAAATAAAATGTTTTATACTGGCCGGGCGCGGTGGCTCACACCTGTAATCTTAGCACTTTGGGAGACTGAGGCAGGTGGATCACCTGTGGTCAGGAGTTTGAGACCAGCCTGGCCAAAATGGTGAAACCCCATCACTACTAAAAATGCAAAAATTAGTCAGCGTGGTGGTAGGCACCTGTAACCCCAGCTATTCAGGAGGCTCAGGCAGGAGAATTGCTTAAACCCACGAGGCAGAGGTTGCAGTGAGCTGAGATTACACCACTGCACTCCAGTCTGGGCGAAAGAGTGAGATTCTGTTTCAAAAAACGGTAATAGGTGGGGTACGGTGGCTCACATCTGTAATCACAGAACTTTGGGAGGCTGAGGTGGGCAAATCACAAGGTCAGGAGTTCAAGACCAGCCTGGCCAACACAATGAAACCCCATCTCAGCTAAAAATACAAAAATTAGCTGGGTGTGTTGGTGGGCACCTGTAATCCTAACTACTCGGGAGGCTGAGGCAGGAGAATCACTTGAATCCTGGAGGTGGAGGTTGCAGTGAGCTGAGATCACGCCACTGCACTATAGCCTGGGCGACAGAGCGAGACTCCATCTCAAAAAATACTACTACTAATAAAATGTTTTATATTTATACTAAGAAAAGGGAGTAAGGTCATCTCTGGCTTGAATTTTTCTTTTCTTTCTTTGCAATTACAAGATAATGTCTGGCTAATTTTTTAGAAAAAGGTCTGCCTGATACATACTCTGCAAACTCTAGGTATTTCAACTTTCTCATCATTTATGTCCAGATGCAGTGGCTCACACCTGTAATCTCAACATTTTGGGAGGCCGAGGTGGGAACATTGCTTGAGCCCAGGAGTTTGAGACCAGCCTGGGCAACATGGCAAGACCCTCTCTCTACAACAATAAGAATAAATTAGCCAGGCATGGTGGCACATGCTTGTAGTCCCAGCTACTCTGGAGACTGAGGCAGGAGATGAACTGAGATCATGCCACTACACTCCAGGGGTGACAGAGTGAGGCCCCTGGCAATAACAGTCATTAATATTTCTCAAGCACGTCATGTCTGAACTCACTGGATTCTCATATAGCAGGCTGTGAGTTCAACAATCTTTTTATCCCCACTCTGCAGATGGGGGAACCAAGGATCTAGAAGCAAAAGCCTGAGGTCACACGCTGAGGAGAAGCAAGGGACAGAGACGGGTCCAGGTTTTTTTTTTTTTTGGAGAGAGCACTTCATAGGGGCTGGGTGCAGTGGCTCACGCCTGTAATCCCAGCACTTTGGGAGGCCAAGGCAGGCAGATCACGAAGTCAGGATATTGAGACCATCCTGGCCTAAATGGTGAAACCCTCTTAAAAAAAAAAAAAAAAACACAGCGCTTCACTCTGTTGCCCAGGTTGGAGTGCAATGGCGTGCTCTTGGTTCACTGCAACCTCTGCCACCTGGGTTCAAGCAATTCCTCCTGCCTCAGCCTCCCATGTAGCTGGGACTACAGGTGCCCAATACCGTGCCCAGCTAATTTTTTTTTATTTTTAGTAGAGATGGGGTTTCACCATCTTGGCCAGGCTGGTCTTGAACTCCTGACCTCAGGTGATCCGCCCACCTCGGCCTCCCAAAGTGCTGGGATTATAGGCATGAGCCACCGCACCCAGCCAATTTGGCAGTTCTGTAACAGTTTAAAATGGGCACCCCAGAAGATCGGAAACATCCTAAATGGACACGAATAGGTACTGATTAAGGCGTGCTGGTGTTCACACAAGACACTACTACGCAGCCTTTAAAACGAACGCAGCTCTACTAGCACCTGCCTGTTTGTTCTCGCTGTTTAATGCATAGAGACAGGGTCTGACTCTGTTGCCCAGGCTGGTCTCGAACTCCTAGGCTCAAGTGATATTCCTGCCTTGGCCTCCCAAAGTGTTGAGAATACAGGCATGAGCCACTGAGCCCAGCCCCATGGGCTATTTTAAACAGTAAATAAAATGAATGGAAGGTTTTTTGTCCTGGTACAAACTTCAGTATACGTTGTTAGATTAAAAAAAAAAAAAAAAAGGAAAGCTAGAGAGTAAAGTAGGCTGCCACTGAATAGAAAGGCCCGAAAATGGCCGGGCGCGGTGGCTCACGCCTATAATCCAAGCACTTTGGGAGGCCGAGGCGGGTGGATCACGAGGTCAAGAGATCGAGACCATCCTGGTCAACAAGGTGAAACCCCTTCTCTACTAAAAATATAAAAATTAGCTGGGCACGGTGGTGCGCACCTGTAGTCCCAGCTACTCGGGAGGCTGAGGCAGGAGAATTGCTTGAACCGAGAAGGCAGAGGTTGCGGTGAGCCGAGATCATGCCATTGCATTCCAGCCTGGGTAACAACAGCAAAATTCTGTCTCAAAAAAAAAAAAAAAAGAAAGGCCAGAAAATGAATCCATTTCTGTTTGTTCTACCTGCTTGTACATATCTCTGAAATGACACTTAAGCAATTGGTAACTGATCTCTAGAGGGAGCTGGGAGAGGCTGTGCATTGGTTGGTTTCTGGAGCCTCTCCAAGTGTGAACCATATGAAGGTTTTGTATATGTGAAAAATGAATGCAACATTTTTAAAGTCATGTAAATAAAGCTGGCATATTCAATTTTGAAATTCTGCTGGGAGGAATGCATCCTATAGGAATGCTTGCACAAGTGGGTACACATTCATCCTTTGCAGCATGAATAAGTGAAAAAATGGCCACCTGTGATAACAGTTAAAAACTGGCTGGGCAAGGTGGCTCACAGCTGTAATCCCAGCACTTGGGAGGCTGAGGCAGGTGGATCATTTGAGGTTAGGAGTTCAAGACCAACTTGGCAAACACGGCAAAATCCCATCTCTAGTAAAAATACGAAAACTAGCCGGGCATGGTGGCACGTGCCTGTAATCCAAGCTACTCTGGAGGCTGAGACAGGAGAATCTCTTGAATCCAGGAGGTGGAGGTTTCAGTGAGCCGAGATGGTACCACTGTACTCCAAACCTGGGTAACGGAGCGAGACTCCATCTCAAGAAAAAAAAAAAAAGGAAAAACTGGACAGCCTCCCAACTGGCAGAGTGCGGCGTGGCAGGCACCCGGAAAGACGGCCCCCATGACCCTCACCTCCTGGTCTCAGGCTTCTGTACTGTTCTCTCAGCTTGAGTGTGGCCTGAACCTAGCAACCTGTAATGTACAGAATATGGCCAGAGTGACAGGATATCACTTCCAAGATTGGGGTACGAAAGACTATGCAGCTTCCACCTTAAGCGCCCTCTATTTTTTTTTTTTTTTTGAGACAGAGTTTCGCTCGTCGCCCAGACTGGAGTGCAATGGCATGGCCTCGACTCACTGCAACCTGTGCCTCCCAGGTTCAAGCAATTCTGCCTCCGCCTCCCAAGTAGCTGAGATTACAGGTGCCTGCCACCACTCCCAGCTAATATTTTGTATTTTTTGTAGAGACACGGTTTCACTATGTTGGCCAGGCTGGTCTCGAACTCCTGACCTCAGGTGATCCACCTGCCTCAGCCTCCCAAAGTGTTAGAATTACAGG